ACTTTAATAGCAGATGCTCTTCTTTTCGAAACATGCAAAACCTCAAGGCCAAGAACAGACCTCATTTTCCCCGCTCTGGGATTAGCAGAGGCTATGACAGGTACAACTACCTAGGGGAAAAAGTTGCTGGTGACACTCCAGTTCTGCGTCTCTAGACTCTGTCTGTTCTTTCAGGTTCACTATTCTGCCCTACTTTTGTAAAAGTTTTGAAACACTTCTGTTCTCTTCCTAGTAAGAAAGCTAAGTCCGGGCACCTGCACCAATTACAGAGGTAGCTATGGAGCAGATAAGCCTCCCCACTGACCCCAATTCTTCAAAGATACTTTGGTAGGAATGAAGGGGTATATGGTGAAGTCAGAGATGGAAAACATTGAGTAGGAGGTTGCCAAGTAGATGTGTTCTGTAATTGGTCAGAAACTGTTTATAGTAAGAGACAAGTACTCTATCTGTTTGTGTAGACGGTAGACTCCTTTTCTCTCCTGCAGTGTTCACTCTACGTAATTTCCAGCAGTGGCCTCAAGTTCACATTGACATTCATGTTCACAGGATCCACTAGTCCATAAACTGGCATCAAATTCACTTAGCTTTGCAAAAGGATACAAGGCAGAAAACAGCATTTTAGCAGGATACTATCAGTGGAGTCTATATAAATCCCGGGTCTGTTTTTTGACTCATCAAGTGACAGCTTAGTTATATGGGAACAAGAGTGTGGAGGTAGTAAGCCACATGGTCCACAGAAACCAGTAGCTTGAAATCCCCCATAGGATTCCCCTATAGGATTCTAGGTTCCTCCAAGAGACATACTTGGTTATGAGAATTACACTACACACAGGAAAGTCAAATCTGCTTCCTAGCAAGTATCTATAGTCTACTCACTGGCCTTCTAGTGCAGACCTAGTTTACCAATCAAGAGTCATTTTTACAATAAACATAGTTGCCTGATAACACAACTGCCATTCCACCTTTATCTTTACCTATTATGTTTCCAGGAAAACAGTGCTAAGAGAAAGTAAGTTGGCCCAATGTCATTTTCTTACAGAGAAGGAGAAAACGTTTTGCTGACCCTTTTTCTCCACCTCTTTAGTACAGATTCCAAGAGGGAAGATATTGGTAGTAAGACTGAAAAGACTGTAACTCTTAATCAGATGGAGGCCAGAATGCAGTGGGGGAGCAGAGGAGAGGCTTTTGATGACTTAATTGTCTTGTTACAGATAGAGTATCATCTTCACATACAGGGCAATACTTTTGATTCTAGAAAGTTGAAAAGATAGGTTGGGACCCAGAGAGAAAAATAGCCTTCTAGCCTCAAGAGTGTGATGTAAAGGGACAAACTTTGCTTCCACAGTGTTTGGCCCTATTCACCCGGTGGAAGAGGCAGAAATTTTGAAGAATAAAAATTGGTCACTTCACTGGAATTCTCTTTGAGCTATTCTTCAGAAGCATTAAAGTGACAGAGGGTCATACAGGAGGACGAGAGCAGTGTTAATACCCTCTGTGTTCTGTGATAGTGCCAAAAGGCAGGAAGATGATGGGGTGGAGTGGGAGCTTTATTTTCATTGGACCATTTGCCTACTGTCTCTTCCAAAATAGCACTAGTGATTTGCCCTACTTATCACAAGATTTGTTTTGTCATGATACTTGAAAACAGGTAGCAGTCAGAACCTGAAAGTTTGTGTATTTCCAAAGGTAATCAGATACCATAGAAACATTTTTCTGTCAGTAACTTAGAATAGAAAGATACTGACCTATGAAAAGGATCCATCTGTTCCATAGATTTAAAAATATTTAATTCCAAAATTTCAAACAATTTAGCTCAAATAAACATACCACTAAATGAATTTTGAAAATATAGAATTCCACATAGTAGGTTATAATAAAAATTGTGGATACTGTAAAACAGAAGATTATTTCCAGCTCCAACAAGCCTTTATGTACAGCGATTACATTATTACTATTCCAAGGATTCTTCTTTGTTCATTTCAGAACTTTACCTTTTGACAAGTTAGTTCAGAGGGCAGCTGAAGAAAAGCATAAAGAATTCTTTATTTCTGAGGTAATTGCTTTTAATATTTTTTTAAGAAGGCATTAATAT